GCCTTAAACATCTTTGTCATTCTTCCCAGAGTTCCAAAATCTTTTTTATATTGTGACAAAAACTCCAAGACAAAATATTCCAAGTGAATCTTACCAAGGCATCATAAAGTAGTATTATTTCATGTGATCTTGTTTCTATCCCTGTGTTAATGAAGCCTGGGACTATGTTGGTTTTTTTGGCAGCTGCAGCAGACTGGTGGCTCATATTTTAAGTGATTGTCCACTAGGATTCCAAGATTTTTCTCAGTTACTACTACTGAGCCAGGTATCTATGACATACCTGTGCATTTGGTAAAAAATGTAGAACTTTACTTTTCTCACACTGAATTTCATTTTCTTAGATAGGGCCAGTATTCAAGTCTGTTGATATCCTTCTGTACCTTGAATCTATATTTTGAGTGTAGCTATTCCTGCCAATTTGGTATCAACTACATATTTGATCAGTTCTCCTTCTATCCCATTTAAATCATGTATAAAGATATTGAAGAGTACTGGGCTCAAGACAGAGCCTTGGAGGTAGCCCAGTTCATATTTCCCTCCATGTAGATGCAGTTCCATTAAGGATTACACATTGTGATTGGTCAGCCTGTTATGAATTCATCTGGTGATGGCATTGTCTTATCCACCCTTTTTCTATCTTATCAAGTAGTAGGTTGTGGTCTGCTTACTAAAGTTCAAGTAAGTTATATCCACAGCATTTCATTTGTCCATTAATTTAGTCACTTTGTTAAAGAATGCAATAACATCTGTCTGGCATGATCTGTTTTTGACAAACCCATGCTGGCTTCTGGTTATGACTTTGTAGACGTTCATAGATTTGTTGCTAATCTTTTCCAGAATTTTCCCAGTTATTGATGTCAGGCTGATAGGTCTGTGGTTTCCTGGATCCATTTCCCCACCCCCACTTTCATCCCTTTTTTGAACATTAGCCCTTTTCTAATCAACTGGTAGTTCCCTGGTGCTCCAAGATCTTTGAAAGATACAGTTTGGTGGTTCTGAGATCATGTCTGCAGTTCCCTCAGAACCTTGGTGTGTAATCCATCTGGTCCTGATGATATGAATGTGTCTCATAGGGTTAGTAGATGGATAGGGTTAGGGTTAGTCTTGCCATTTTCTTGTTTATTTTATTTCTTGCATTCCTAATCTGCATTTTACAGTATTTTTTTTGATAGTAAATGTTTTACATTTACATACAGTTCTTAAAATTCCCAATTCCACCTAGCCCTTGATTAACACTTTCCTGTTTAGCGACTGTTTCAGGTTAAAATGTCTCTAAAAAGTGCTCCTCACATTTACAACTGGTCCTTACAATTACAATTGTCACAGCATCCAGCAGTCATGTGATCAGCATTTATATGCCTCACAGCCCAGGTGAGACCATATGATGTCTCACAATGAATGTTGTTTTGCAATGGAGTTGCCAGTCTCAACTGTGATTGTTTTTCTAGGATTACCTATAGTTTGTCATATAATCATTCTCAGAACCTTCCAAAACAAAGAAATGGTTGTTCCTCAGTTCTAAAAACTAACTGAATGAGTGAAGGTTTCCCTAATCCTAGTCTAACCCCTTATAGAAATTCAATACATGATTCCACAGTTACTATTATACCATTCCCCTCAGCCCGACAATAGTGAGAATTGATGGGGTTTGCAGTTTTGCTGGGCTACTCCTGCTTCAAAGGATAGCCAACCATGACCTCCATTTGCCCACCACTGAGATAACTAGTAATCCAGCATCATGTTGCTCATCAAAATGTGGATTTTCCATATTTACCTATTTGGTCTATATTTTGACTTTCCCTGTGACTAACACATTTGTAAAATATTTGTATTAAAAATTGCAACCAGTCCATTTTAGAAGACATTCTACTATATATCCTCATAATGCCAGGATTGCAATGACATTTCTGTTGGTCAAGTTACTGGGGAATCCTTTGCCGACTTCTCCAGTAGCTACTTTATATGTACACAAACTATTGGTGATGATGATGAATACTATTGTCAGAATGGCCTCACTTAAAGCTTACATGACCTGTTGACTTTACCCTATCTGTTCATTTCTTTCCTATCTGTTGACTTTAGCCTGTCTGCTGATTTTACCCTGATTGCTGTGACACAGTAACACTTTGACTACTGCTGCCACTGCAATATTTTCTCTCTCCCCCCCAATACAGAGAAAAAAACTAATAATTTAATAAAAATGAAAACAGAATACTCTTAACAATCATAGAAATAGAAAGGAAAGTGATCCATTCTAATTGCTTGTACAATAGAAAATCTTGCAATTGCAACTTTCCTGACTGATGTTCAGGATTTTCCTTAAGTGTTTCAGTTCTGATGGTTCTTAAAATCTCACCAAAGACTGTATCAAAAGAGACAAAGAAAACAGTTGCATTTCCACATACAGATAGTCCTCAACTTACAATTATAATTGATCCCAAATTTCCATTCTTAAGCAAGGCAGTTAAGTGAGTTTTGCCTCATTTTAAACCTTTTTTTCTCCAATTAAGCAAATTACTGCAGATGGGAAATGAATCATGTGGTCATTAAACGGATGTGGCTTCCTCCCACTGACTTTGTGATTGACTGGGAAAGTTACAAATGGAGATCACATGACTTCAGGAAAGTGATATGACAAAATCACCATCAATCAATTGTATAAATAAACTTATACAATTAACACCTACAAGAGCCGAGGTGGCGCAGTGGTTAAATGCAGCACTGCAGGCNGGTATCTGCCAGATGTCTAGGCAGATAACGCGACCAGAAACCCGGGGGCAGCTCTGTTAAGCTGCCACCATCAGCAAGGTCCCGCCCAGGAAGTCTCTAGATACCATCTCTGACTGGCCCCGCCCCCATCTATTCTCTGCCTCCCAAGTCCCAGCTTATCAGGAGGAAATGGGGATTTTCAGTAACCTTCCCCTGGAGTAGGGAGGGAATGGAAATTTTACAGTATCCTTCCCCTACCATGCCAAGCCAAGAACGCCCACAGAACTGGTAGTAAAAAAATTTAAATCCACCACTGGTCTGGAGGTTGGGGGCGGGGGTGAATCAGGCAGAACAAATTTCAACTCTATCTTACCAAGACTGCTTGGTTTTTGGTTCAAGGTCCCCTCAATTCTGGGGAATTTCCATTTCCTATTCTTTGTGGGTTGCACAATTTTGAGGTCCTGCTGAACTCACAGCTCCCCCTTTTAATGTTAGTAACCAGAAAACCATCTGCAGTTGTATCCTTTCCTGAATCAGGAAACTCTGCTCACTGTTGTCAGGCAAAGTAAGCAGAGCATGTGTTGGGCCCTGTGAATTAATTTTGTTGAAATATTTGTATTGTGCTCATATTGATTTCTTTTTAAAAAAAAATCTTGTGATGCTGATTGTCTATTTACTTTTTACTTTTGTTCTCTTTTTCTTTGCTTTTTTTAAAATTGCTGTTAGCTGTTCAAAATCACTTATTTGAAACCAGCGGCCATATAAATTGAATGAATGAATAAATAAATAAATCTAAGCGAAGAGTATTTGCAAAGCTATTATGGGAATGGTTGCGCATTCTGAAATTGTACTTATATAAATATTGACAATAGCAGCTGTCCTTCAATATATCAGTAACTACCAGGTTGAAGAAGACAGCAGCAGTTACTGCTTATACCTTATAGATCCTGCATTAAGCAAGAAGTTGGACTAGATGACCTCTACCATACCCTTCCACTGCTCAGTTCTGAGAGTGTGTGACCCTAGCTCCCACTCCCTAATTACTGATGATGAGACAGCCATACTGTAGCGACCCCTTCCATCTAGAAACCATAGCAATGCTGTCTAATCCCGGTTTTCTGAGAGGTCATGAATTCCAAATTCCATAATCCTTAACTCTGCTATTTAGGATAATGGGAGTTGATATCCAAGGTATATAACTATGCATCTAGTGTGGTCGAGGGTCCCTAGGAAAAGTTCCGTACGGATGGTCTTAGGAGTCTGCTTACACCACCCTGCCTGCCCCGTATTTGCGAGGCTACCCCAGGGACGGGCAGCTCTGCTATTCCGGTGCTACCGGCTGTTTATTAACTCCGTTGGTAAGTCTCCCAAGAGGGCGCGCAGATGAAGGAAACCTGTAGGAGGGGACGCGCTTCATTTACAGAGCAATTATTGCCTTGCCTGCTTTCCCAGCAATATCAACTTGCTTGCTGACTGTAGTAGCAAGAAGGTGGCTTAAACCCGGGGCCAGACCCGCCTTTCCTACCCCACTCTATATCCCCACCGACACTCCGACTTAAATGGCTTGTGAGGACGGTTTATGAAAAGGAATGGCGGGAGCGGCAGGCAGGCAGGGGAGCAAGGACTTCAGTCCGGTGATCGCGGCGTTTGTTTTGCGGAGCCTGCGTGTGAACGCGAAAGCCACCCGGAGAGGTAAACTGCAAAATGTCCACGGCAAAGCCGCGTTGTCACTTCGAAAGCGCGGATCGGATCCTGCGTGTCTCCGGCGGGACACGCGCCTCCACCAAGGCTAAAGTGGGACTGGCGGGTGCGCGCCCGCGCCTTGCCGAAAAGTCTGGAGCGAAGTTGGGACGCTCTTCGTGCAGAGGGGAACCGGGCACCCGGTCTTTGGGCTCCTCTCGGGGTAACCTGGAGCTTCCAAAGAGCCTTACCAAGTCTGGAGGAGGAAGGAGGCGCGGCCAGAGGGGAAAAGAAATAAACGCCCGTTTTGAATATCCCACGGGGGGGGGGGGGCAAGGAAGCAGCAGCAGCGCCTAATGGTGAGCGGTAAACGAGTGATCGGACTGATGGCTCAATTAGAAGCAAAAGGGCCGTTTGCCGGGTGACGGGCCACGCATTTCTCGCTCGGCGCCCGATCCAGTCTTGACCACTCGCGTCAGCAGTCGAAATCCCTTCGTGTCCGCGCTGATCTGAGGGCCTCGCCGATGCCACACGTGGCCCGGAGCTCGCAAGAACAACGGGGCGCTCTGGATTCCTTCCAGTTCCGCCTGGCTTGTTTTCCTTGCTTTGCTCCAGGTTTTACTTCTGGTTGCCTGCGAAGGCTTTTCGCTCCTCCCTTTTGAAATCCTATATTAGCTGTGGCCAAAGCGGGGTAAGGAATACAGCTCATTGTTGGCAAGGGCTGATGAGAAACTCGCCGAGCAGGGGAAGCCGCGGCTTCGAGTCTGTATGCCCAGCAGCCAGAAGAATTAATCGCCACCCTCCGCCGGGACAAGCACAGAGAGGAACCGGACCGTCGCCTGCTCTATGCTGGGCGATTTTTGCTGATTGGGTCTAGCAGCGCGTTGGGAGCGAAGGAAGAAAGCGAGCAAGAGCGTGAGGTGAGCGGTGGGCTTTCTCGCGCTCCCTGCACGAAGCTCCGGACCGAGGACTGGAGGCACGGGAAGGCATGCCCGAGGCGGGGGAGGGAAGAGGCTTCCGCGGGAGCTGGTAATCCACTTGTTCTTATATCACAAGCGGTCCTGGCGGACTTTAATTCCCAAAGTTGCTGACAAGGAGAGCGGGAAGGTCGGACAGCGCTCGCTCGCTCTCCCCTCTGTGGTTCTTATGTAAGGCTTTTTCCGCGACCACACGCGTGGATTTGTTTGCATGAGCGTTACGAGCGTGGACCGGCGTTTGCCGATCAAAAGGGGGACGGATGATAAATGGAGCGAGAGCGGGAAAAGAAAAAGGAGCCGGGGAGCGCCTAGGTTTGCGCGAGTTGTGGCGGAGGGGAGGGCGGCTGCCAGCCGGCGATGGTGCCTAAGGCGCCTTCCCCGCTTGCCAGTGCCGGCGAATTGGGAAGACTGTCTCTGGAAGGAGAAAAGGACGGAGTGGGCTGGAGGGGGGCGGGAAGGGTGGAGAGGCGACTTCCTAGGCAGAAATAGCGGGGAGAGAGCGTCAGGGGCGGGAGGGCGCACAGGCAGGCATATAAATGTTGATCCCTTTCTCTGTAAATATTAACTTTTCTGAAGGCTTGAAATGGCAGAGCACATGATGGCCATGAACCATGGGCGCTTCCCGGATGGAACCACTGGGCTTCACCACCATCCGGCGCATCGCATGGGAATGGGACCCTTTCCAACCCATCACCACCAGCAGCAGCAGCCTCACACCTTCAGTGCCTTGATGAGCGACCATCTCCATTACGGAGGAGGAAATATGAACACAAACAGTGGGATCAGGCATGCCATGGGGCCAGGGAACGTGAATGGGGGACACCCTGCTGGCAGCATGCCGCCGACAGCGAGGTTTAATAATTCCCAGTTTATGGCACCGACGGTGGCCCCTCAAGGCGGGCCCTTAACAGCCAGCATGCAGTTGCAGAAGCTGAACAACCAGTACTTCAGTCACCATCCTTACCCTCACAACCACTACATGCCGGATTTACTTCCTGCCAACCATCAGCTCAATGGAGCAACCCAGCATTTTCGGGACTGCAACCCCAAGCACAGCAGCAGTGGGGCTGGCGGGGGCAATGGCAGTGTCCCTGCTTCTGTGCCCCACGTCCCTGCAGCAATGCTGCCTCCCAATGTCATTGACACAGACTTCATTGACGAGGAGGTCCTGATGTCCTTAGTTGTAGAAATGGGCTTGGATCGCATCAAGGAGCTTCCCGAGCTTTGGCTGGGACAGAATGAGTTTGATTTCATGACAGACTTCGTTTGCAAACAGCAGTCTAGCAGAGTGAGCTGCTGACTTTTGTGCAAAACAAAGGACCTTTTTTCCATATGTATGAATGAAAACATTCCCTCTAGAGACAGTATTTCAAAGGCTTGTAGGAACCTGGGAAGCAGAGTAAAATATAAGCTTGTATAATTTTTCTTATTTTCTGTTTGCTACCACCACTTTTTTTTATTTTTAAGCTTGGCCACCCATTTTTGTCCCCCCTAACCTATAATAATTTTTAACTGTACCCATCTTTCATATCCCTCAGTGTCTCTATTCTCTGCTTAATTTCTTCCCTGCTAACCTGGCAGTTCTGTCAGTGACTACATGCAAACATTGGCAAAATAATCTTGTGGATATTCTGCAAGTTACGTTTCAAATGAGTAGAACTGCATTCAGATTCTGAGTTTAAAAAAAAGATTTTTAAAAATGTTTTAGTTGATTGCACGAACTTCAGGATAGATTCCTGCGCAAATACTGCCCTCTTCCTTTGTTTTGAACTATGCATTGGAGTGATGCTAATTTTTAGTCTGCTAAAGTGGAAGCTTAGCAAATGTGGGCCAAACCTTCCCTCTTCAGGAAAAATAATACTGTTACTTAAACTCTGCTGACTGTTCTTCTCCCCCATTTGTACAGACAAAAAGATAGTGTGAATGGAATGGCGGTGGGAGGGGACTTTGCTGGCTTTTATTTTCAACATCTTTTTACTTTGGTAATGTGCTTACATGGTTTATTCAATACATAGGGGGAAAGAACTACTGTGTTGAAAGCTTTTGGGGAAATTTGACAGTATTTTTGTACATTTTTTTTCTGAGAACCTACTTATTAATTTATTTTAAGTTGCCAGTGTCCATAAAAAAGTTAAAGGCTTTAACTTTTTCCTAGGTATAGTTCCCAATTCTTTTTCCTAAACTTCTTTTTCTTGCCTACCCCTTCAATTTCCCCCTCCGAATATTTAGTACATATGACCCTTTTTAACTTGAGCTGTTGGGTTGTGTGAACATTCTGAAGGAGTATTTACTTGACACCATTGTGTGCTATATGTCATGATCAGTGCAGAAGGTAAAAGGATTTAAAACTAATTATGACATCACAGTCTCATAAGTAACATTGTAACATGCCTGTGTGATTTTATCAAAAGTGGAATTTGCCAAGAGGCAACAACTTGTGATTTTGCCAACTTACTCGCTATAAATGTAGTTGTCCAGAATTATGATGCATAAAGTATTTATTCTATTTATCTATTAAACTTTAATTTTATAAATACTCTCACAAGTACTCTCAATAAGACTTTGTTCTTCATGCACATGTATTTCTTATTTATGTGAAAAGGCTTCATAAAATAAGCATGTTGTAGCTTTTGTTCCATCTTTCTTGCATCAAGATAAAAGTGCCCTTAGCCATTTTTTGTTTGAAAAACCTACATTGCACTAAAATCATAAGTTTTCATTATAGAAAGATGAAAAGCAGAACACACATTGGGAAAAATGTTTTGTTAAAAAAAATTGAACTAATTGTATTATGGTCTAAAGCTCGGACGCAGATACTAAAAGAATAATTTTATGTATTTTCTCATGGGGATAGTAAAATATTTAAATCAATAATATATTTTATTTCACTTTCTCTTGGTGGGAAAAGAAAGCTGTTCCCTACTTTCTGTGATCAGTACAAGATCAGGTATTTAACATAATGTTTAACAAAGCTGCAGCAGTTAAACACTGACCTGATATCTCACTTTCAAAATTATTTTTAAGGTGTTGGGCAAGCATTTACAGATGCCCCTCTTATACTGAAACAACTTCAAAGTGCAAGTGTCAATTATAATTTTCGAATATTTCTAACCAGAATATTAGACAGCCTGGCAGTATATCAACTGCTATATTAAATTTCACTGAATTATGTGTGCACTAGGATTTGTATCAAGCTGGGGTATATTATCTGGTGAAACATTTAAAACTGCTTCCTTGAATTTAGCTGTATTTAATGGATTCCCCAAAAGCAACATTTTTCAACATGCTTTATCTTCCTACAATATGGACACTGGGCTCTGTCTGTGTTATCCAGAACAATGTTTTGTGTAATGTCACAGAAATGCTGCTTTGTACCCATTAGAATGAGATAAATTGCTCTTGGATGATGGATGACTAGCAGTAAGCTTTGAGGCAGGGAACTGCATTTGACAGCATTTTCATGCCTTATACGCTTTGATCGTAATACTACAATCATTTTAAAACATTCCTATTGTATATCAACAAAACAAGGAATATGGTGTCAAGGACAATTGAGCAAGAAAGCAATGTTTTGAGTCACATGTAGTTGGCTTTGCATTTGCTGCTAACTGCATTACAATTATATTAGGATTTGTTATGTTTGTGTACAGCGTATTAGAGAAGCATTGAAATTTTGCAGCGATTTATTTTAAGATGATATCAATAATCAACAATAGCTAAACCTTTACAGGGCTCATATTTGGGTTTTGGATTATTTGGTCAGGAAAACTGCATATATGAAGATGTCCAAGAGACTATAGATCTATATCTAGCCAATTTATTAAACAATGTTGGGATTCAGTTAGCTTTCTAAATAGCTGAAGTACTATTGAAATAGTACTTGCGAAATAATCCGCTTTGGGATGGCATTAGATATATGTTGTACAAAGTGGTTCAAACTTTGAGTTTAGTAGTCACTCTTATGCAAAGTCAAACATTTCCATGTTAGTTGTTACGTAAATAAGAACAAAAAAGTATATTTTGGGCACCAAAATCCCCCTTTTTCATTAAATTGCACAAAATGTTCCAATCAATGGCAGATGCTACGAAGAGAGAAATACTCATGTCAGTTTCATTAATCATCATAGTTTAGGGCTTCATCGAGTTTATATTAATTTATCCAGAGTGCCCCATGTCTCCCCCACTTCCTAACCACTAGAGGTGTTTAGACACATCTTATTATCCAGATCAATTGTTCTGTCCTAGAAAAACTTGAAATGCATCCCCAGAGATTCTATTTCATAACAATCCTCAGTCACTGTAACATCAATCATTAACTCTATTCTACATAAAGTTGCTAATCAACATTCTGAAATCCTCTTTGACCTACTCACTTATTTTGAAATAAATTGGAACATAATCAAACTGGCAATCTCAAATGTCCCAACTTTTTGGAAGAAAAAAAAAATCCCTATCTGACATGCTGCACCCATATCACCTGCCATAAGTGTATTCTAAAATGTTAGAAAACACTTGTCCGAGTTAATCAGTGATAATATGAACAGGGACTAGTATATTAGCAATTGCCAGGCTATTTTGCAAACAAGGCTGGGGAGATGGTGCTGGTATATTGCATTCTTACTTAGGTTGCTTGTAGCACAGGAAACCTGACCCCTGTATTTTGGCTCTTTTTCAAACAGTTCTAATATGGTACATGAGCTGTGCTGTTCTTTAAGCCATGACCATAAATAGACACAGTGCTTTATTTGCAATGGAGATCAGTGATAAGCCTCCCTGCGCAGAAGCCGCACAAAAGACACTTGTTAGGAAAATAAATGCTGATTAATAAAACAATGTCACTCTCTTGCGGTTGGAGAAAAAACAACAGGCAGAGGCCATTTTTTTTCCTGAGGCTGAGAAAGACATCACATGACAGTCAGTGAGTGATCTGGTTAGAACAGCTCCTCGCAGCTGTTTATAAGGTGCTCAAGAAAGAGACAAAGAATAAGTTGACATCTATTGTGCACTTTATAGTCTGAATGTCTTTTGTAACGGCAATAGCCCGCTCTGGCGCATAAATTGATGTGGGCGTGAAAGGCCAGGTCTTTTAGAGACAAATATTTAATCCCTTAATCTGTTATGGGTGGCCGGCTTTAAAAGGTAAACACTGCTTGTGGGTGAATGTATTAGATGCTGGTGCCATCTTGTGGAATGCAGACCAAAGAGAAAATAATTGAGTGTTTCCCTCTCCTCGTTCACATATTCTTGGGAAAGAGTTACAAGCAGGTGTGCTATATTATATTGCAGAAAGGGCTGCCCCTATCAACCATTAAGCAAAATAGGCATATGCTTAGGGCACCAAGGGTAGGGAAGTCCCACTGAGAGCTTTCCCCTAGCTGTCATGCTCTGTAACTCTTTTCACTGCCTCACTTGGCTTTAGTTTTCAATAAACATTTCTATTTGCATTTTCCTTCATGGCAGTTTTATTAAGCATTGCATAAAAAGAGTTGAAGATTTGCACCTTTTTATGGTCCTGCATATAACTAATATGCTTGTATTGCCTGCTGCTATTTTGTGTCAAAACAGTTTTTCGGGAGGTGGGGGGAAACCCAATGTTTAATTTAGTAGTACAATCTATCTTGGGAGGTAGCCTGGGATATAAGTAAATTTTTAATCTGTTATTTCACCTTTAGAAGTCATTGAGTCTTCATGTATTGTCAATTAAGCAATGAAAGGGCCATTGTTGGACTGTTATTAGGGCATCAATTGGCCTTAATCTGGCCCAGGAGAAGAGGAAGGCTTTAAAGGTGACTTAACATCCTGATTAAAAAGAAAGATGATATTGATTGTCATATCTAGCTGAATGCACTATTTATAGGGTCTGGATGGGAGTAAACAAGCTGGCACTCAATCCAGAAAGACCGAGTGGCTATTGATGTTGCCCCCCAAGGACGGTCCAGATATTCCATCTCTCAGCCTGGGGGGTGAAACTCTACACCCCTCAAGAGAGGGTCCGCAACTTGGGTGTCCTCCTGGACTCGCAGCTGATATTAGTACACCACCTGTCAGCTGTGACCAGGGGGACTTTTTTCCAGGTTCGCCTGGTGCACCAGTTGCGGCCCTACCTGGACCGGGAGACACTTCAAATGGTCACTCATGCCCTCGTCCCCTCTACGCTTGATTACCGTAATGCGCTCTACATGGGGCTGCCCCTGAAGAGTGTTCGGAGACTACAGTTGGTCC